CACAAAATGTTTTAAGTAAATTGAATAAAGATTTATTGGTAAATAAATAAACTAAAAGCTAAAAATACTAAACTAAGGAAATACAAAAGAAGAATTAATCATAAATAAAAAAGAGTAGCCTTGTATTATTTTACAAAAAGGGGTTATACATAGTTATCACTAAACTGATCAGATTATATCTAGCAATTGATAGTTACTTTCTTGTTAAGAATTTAGTCTCCTTTATATACTTTTTAATATAAATCTAATATATCATATATGTTAGGTATGTCTGATATATCAAATATATCAAATATTTTTGATATGTTTGACATTTAGATCTATATTTTCTTACATTATATAAATTAAATATATCTATTAAGTTGATCCTATTAACTACATCACTTACATAACTATTTATAATACATTATATAGATCAATTATATTACAATAATCCTGTTATAATATTATTAAACATCCAAATTTTAATGTTAATGATATTTCACAATCTATCACTATGATCAAAAAATATCATAGTTTGTTACTAATTTCATTTAATGGATATAATATTAAACTTAATAATCATAATATTCCTTTAACATCAAAATCAACTTGTTAAGTATTTATATTTCCATTGAAAAGTATTTTATATCATATATTATTAAATCTAAAATTACATAATTAAATGTATTTTGATCCTAGTATTTATTCTGATATTAAATAGAAATTATAGCATATTGATATTTGGCATAAATCACTATTATTCAGTAATATATACATTCAAATTAATAATAGTAAATATAATTTATTTATAATGATATGATAACATTAATATTTTATATTATAATTATTATATTTTAATTCAAATGTTTTGAATATTTAGTTACATATAATCTTGGAGATTTTATTAAATATTACTATTCCAATTCTAATTTTTCTTATAGATGAATTATTGGTTTTGTTTTTTGTAATAAAACTAATTATTCTTTAATTAAAATAGAAAAAATACTTGATTTTAATTCATTATCTAGTTCCTTAAAATCTTATCAAAAAAAAACTAACATAATATAAAGCTTATAAAGACTTTGGATGACTGATGAAAATATAATTATTGAACTTGCTTCAATTATATCTAAAATCAAAGTATAGCTTATGAATACAATAAAACTTAATGATTATGATTATTTTATTAATAAAATTATTTAAAAGAATAATAACATATAGATTATACAATCAGTTAATCTTTGCCATCAACATCAAATTGAATACACTCAATCACAAAGAACTTTGGATAGATTACCTATTTACAATTTTTTTCTTGATATTTATATTGATAAGTTTAGCCCCTTTCATAATGCAGATTATATTATAAGAGGAATTTATTTACAAATTGAAAATATGACACAAGTTATGTGTCAAAAACTTAAAAATCATTTTTTTTAGGGTTTATTCCTTTAGGTAAAATTGTGAAGATGTTCTAAGTCCTTTAATTGAAGATATAAAAGAACTTAAAAATGGATTTACAATAGAAATAAATAGTAAATATATTTGGATAATAGGTAGATTGGGTAACATTACAGCAGATTTACCTGAGGGAAATGAACAAACTGAAATTAAGCATTACAATGCTAATTATAATTACCGTATGTGTATAATTAATTATGATAAATTAAATGATATATCTTTTGATCTTATAGTAGAAGCATATTATTATTATAAGATTTCTTTATAATTTGCTGAACTAAATTATACTTAAAGTCGTAATGAGCAGAAATTATTATTACAACAATATGGTATTTGAAATAAGCTTCCAATTTTTGATAATGTAACTTGTGATCATCATTTACAATATCCTCATGATATATTTCATTGCATAGGTGTTTAGTAAATTAAATATTATAATCTACATTTGCAATATTAATATCTAAAGGAAAATAATCATTTTTAACTAATTGAAAATAGTTTGAATTTCCAAATATATGGTCTTAGCAATAAAATTCTATAACTCATCTTAGCTCTTACTTTTTTTCAAATTACCTTTGTCTAATAATTATAATACCATTTTAATCGATTAAGCAGTCAATAATAATTCATTAAAAGAAACTTTTATTAATCATATTTTAATATTATATGAGCTTTCTTAAAAAAAATAAGTAATTGATTAGCTACATTATCTTTAAATATTATTTGCAAA